CACCCTCAGACTTTGCCGTCTTTGTCCTTTTTTTAATTGAAATACGTTATTTTTATAATTTTTTATTTTTTTAAAAAAATTATATTATTAATTAATTTTAAATTTATTTATTACGTTTTTTTTTTCAATTTTTATTTGCTTATGAAGCCTAAAGCAAATTGAATCTTTAAGAAGAGCTTTATAGCTATACTAAATTAGAGTCCACAAGCTGGATAATAATCAAATATCGCAGTATACTTTTTTTCTTTTTAAATTTCTATTCTTTAAAATTTTAAATGTAAATTAATTTGAATTAATTATGTATATATCTTTTTAATACTTTGAATAGTTTTTAATTTATACTTTTAAAATTTTACTTGAATTAATTATGTATAATCCTTTTAATGCACATGATGCTTACGAGTCAAATTAAAAAGGAAGTGAAAAGGATACCAAATAAAAAAGGAAGTGAAAAAGTTATTGCAACCCAAAAATAGATAGGTAATATAGTTAACCGATTTAATTCGTACAAAATAGCGGGAAGTGTTGAATTTGTTAACTCAATTTTTAAACTTAGTCTATTTAATCCACCCACTTAAACCACGAATCAGAACAAGCTGACCCGTATAAACCATCAATTCTCCAACCTTGTCTTATTTTTTTTTGTTGGAAGGTTGACTTACCAAAAAATATGGTGGATTAGATTTCTTTTTTTTGAACATTGCAGGGAATCGAACCGCACACCTAATACACCCTAAACACACCCAACACCAATAGCCTAGTGGTGCGGTGGATTAGATTTCTTAACCTATATTCTTAACCTATATATCAACAACAAATTAACTTCTCTCGCCTCTATTTTGACTAACCCATAAAAAGCACTTCGTGAGTTTATCCACTTTGCCATCCCTTTTCACGAAAGGATAAAAATAGTATTATATTATCAGTTTAAAATATGTATTAATGTATGTAACTTTTCTCAAATGGACGCAACAAATATTGCCTTACTCTAAAATAATTCTTATCTAAAAACGTTATAGACTCAGGGAAAATATGAGGTAACTTAAGTAATAAATAAGTTTTATCTAGTATTTATGTATACATATAATATAAAGGAATTGAACTTGTTAGAAAGCACTTTGTGCAAGAAGAAACTTCAAAGAGAGTAAAAATTTCACACAAAGATATATATATATATATATATATATATATATATATATATATATATATATATATATATATATATATAGTGGCGGACATAATTTTTTTTTTTTATATCCGCACATTCAGTGGCAGGGGTTCGCAGGCAGCGCCCTCGGAATTTTTTTTAAAGAAAGTTTAAATAAATGCTTGAACCCACTCATAATATAGTTGCTTCCATAACAAGCTGCAGACAATAGATTGACCAATTATTTCCCCCCTAAATCTTACCAATCCTCCAAAACAAATATGAGAATATACTCCAGTACATCCATACATCATCATTCTATTTTTATAGTGGTGAATAAAAAAGTCAACACTACCTGTACAGAAGGCAAACAAAATCACAGTGAAAGCTTCGTCTCTAGATATAACTTATTTGAGAATGTCAGACCTGCAATCAATCTTCTCTTTTTATAAAAATGAATGAAGAGAGCATGTCAATGGGTACGTGATAGGGGAGGAAGAATAAGTTTTATGTCTAATCAATTTGCGTTGCTACGTTGTTTTAATCATCTCCATACGTTGCTAACTAATATAAGAATAAATATCCTTTTTGGTTTTAATAAAAAATTCGGTCCCCACTTTAGTCCATTATAAAAAAATTAGTTACCTGGTCCCTAAGAAATTCAAAGTGGATCCATTTTGGTCTTTTTGAGGGACTAATGTAGGTCTTTTTTGAATTTATAAGGGATCACAATTTTAACTAAATTGATCCACTTTAAATTTTTTAGGGACCTCGAAACTATTTTTTTTTGTAAGAGACTAAAATGGGGACCATATTTTTTGTTAGGAACTTAAAAGAATATTTATTCCTAATATATATATTAAATCAAGAGACAAATAAGAACCTGCAACCAAGAAAAAAAAAATGAAATCAAAAATTTTATGTCAGCACTTGCAAGAATTTGTCCGCAAGTGGGTCCGCTAGTGTGTATATATATATATATATATATATATATATATATATATATATAATTGTAGAGTAAAATTACCATGCTCATGAATATGCATATGCTCGCAATCCTTATACCCCTTTAAGATTGAAATTGTACAATAATAGAAAGCATTATACATAAATTAGTTTAACTGAGACTAATAACCTTTCGTGTTCGTAAAGGGCGCACTTTGGCCTTTGGACTACCCCCAAAAGTGATTGCTCTTTTCAACATGTCACGAGCACCAGCATCATCTTTGCGTAGATTATAATTATAAAAATCAGATACTATTTCCATATTTCCTAAATAAGGCCAATGTAGTGGATATTAATTTAGCATGCTATGCAAAGAAAAAATAGAAGAAAAAGACAAAGAGATTAATATATTTTAGGTAAGTAAAAGATATGGGAATATTGAAATCCATATGTTGACAATTTTGAAAATTATTTGTAGACAAGATTATACTTTAATGGACACTATACTATTTATCGTTTGTCTTTTTATCAAGTGTTTATACTTTAATGTAACAAAAAAAATATTTACGAATCAGTTTTTAATAGTTTAGAAAAAGTAAGTGAGATAATTGTAAAATAATCAAAAGCAAAGAAATCAAGGGTACAAAAACTTACTGTATGCAATGCACGCATCGAACTTGTGGCACATAAAGAGAGCTAAAAACAACTTGGACGTAGAAGAAAAACGCAAGACACCAACCCGGTGACGTTGAAAGCGGTGACGGTAGGGCTACAAATCTGAGAAAATGCCAAACACAAAATAATAAAAAAATAATTATAAAATAAAAGATAAAATAAAAATATATAGAAAACGAACACAGTTGTCCAACGTGGCTTTCGAGGAAGGGTCACAATAGTCCTCTCCGTTCATCAATTCAAGACAAACACCCTTCCATACTCTCACCCCTACTCTGTATTTTGCACCCTCAAGATCTTAACCGTCCATTTAAGCAGAACCGTTAAACTAAATATTCTGATTTGTTTTAGAAGAACGAGAAATTCTGATTTTTTTTTTAGGGAAAAGTGTTTATCATTTTAAATGACAGAAAGTTATGTCATTTTAAGAGAGATACAGACACAGAAAATTTAAATTTTAAATTAAAAAAATTACTCACTTTCTCTCTTATAATTTCTGTTTTTCTGTGTCTATCTATCTCACAAAATGACACAACTTATGACATTTTAAATGACAAACACAAAACTTTTTATTTATTTATAAATATGTGAGATTCCCCTTCGTGTTCTATGTGTAGCAATTGATTAGTTGTGTAATTTATCTCTTTGAATGATTAGATTATGTAATTAATCATCCTTTTAACACACACATATACGCTTTTTAATCAAAAAATATTTTTTTTTCCTTTTTGCTTGTAATAGATTTATCCATTTAAGTGTTTGCATAGATTAATTTACTTTATTTTAAACAATTAAATTAAAAAAATTAATTTTATTAGAAAAATTGATTTTAAAAAATAATCATTACGAAACATGCAACAGATTTGATTATGTAGTTTAATAGTATTACTAATATCATATTTCTTACTTATTAACATATAAATATAACTTTATAAAGGTAGAGTTTGTAAATGCTATTTTACATCTCTAACTTATATTATTTGAAAATCTATTACGTCGTAATAATAAGATCATACATCATCATTTACAATTGAGTTAAAACTTTGAATTCATTTATAATTTATCAACATGCAATTACATAATAAACACTTTTGAATTAAAAGTACATAACAATGCAAATTTAGTTACCACTTGAACTACTTATTAAACTAGTTAACTTTACACATATCTAGCATATTTTAAATTTTATCCCCATAAATATTTATAGCGGAGAAATATTTTGACTCTAGTGTAAGATTTAAAGTCTCATTCTCTATCTCAAATGTTGATTTATGTCTATCTAACAATTGTTATTTATTTAAAATTAATAATTAATTAATTGATATAACTCAATAAAATATAACCATTAAATGGACGAAAATCAACGATTAAGATAGGAAGTAAAACTTTTAAATCTTACACTCAAGTTAAAAGATTCCTTCCATATTTATAATTTATTAGACAAATATCTAGTTTATGTTTCAATTAGTGTGTTTTGTATTTCTTCACACTAATTCTTTTGTGTTAATAAATCTTTAAGTAAGTTCTCTTTCAAACAATTTTAAGAATGTTCCTTTACATTCACCTAAAATTGAGAAGAAATAATTAATTTTTTTATGTTCCGAGTCATTTTGTTTTGACGTGCAAAAAATTTATAACTAAAATATTTTAAATAGAAAATTTTATTGATTAATTTTATATAAAATAAATTAAGTCAAATATGCATATACACTCGTAAATTATTATTTAAGATTTAGTAATCATATAATTTAATTTTCTTTCTTTGTGATATATACAATTGTGTAAGTATAGTAAAAAAAAGGAATCTTAATTTATTCTTAAAATTTATAATTTTAATGTGGGAGATGTTATACTTACTATCATTTTTTCTTTTAAAATTTTAGCAATAATAAACCCAATAATTTTTAATAAAAATATTATTCATCCATAAAATTGATATTTAATAATATTTAAAGTAAAAATGTAACTAATATTTTATTAATTAATTCCCAAGACAATATTATTGTATAATGGCATAGATACGAATACAGACAAACACTTACCAAATAAAGCAACCATCCAAAACTTGCCACATTTAATATGATGTATAGGCTCATCCGCAGAGGATAAACACCCTTCTTGAAGTGTGTATACAGTGATGTAGAGAGAGAAATCGCAAACGGTTGGTTCCATAAGAAGCTCCGCTGGGGAATTGCGTATAAAAAACACGAGAAAAGAGTGTAACTCTCGCTTTATTATTATTCTTCTTGCTTCCTAGTTGTTGGTTGGTGCAAAAACCAGAACCCACAACTTTCAGAAAGAAAGAAATCCTTCTTGTTTTTCTAGGGTTTTTGCTTCGTTCATTTCAATGGCGGCTTCTTCTCTTCTCAGATCTGCGTTTCTCGTTCCTTCTCGCTCTGAGGTCTCGTTCTTTATTTCTTCCTCATCATCGATGATTCTCGCACGTTCTTCTGATAATTAGCTGAAACTTTTGAACTACTACGTGCCATGTTTTGATCCATGCTTTCTTTTTTATTTTATTTTTTCTCTTGTTTAGTTCTTGAAGTTTATACTTTGTTTTGGATTTTGTGAAGCCTCTGTTTGCTTACTCAGAAGACAGAGGAAGAGGAAAAAAGTATAATGCTTTACTTTTCTTTTCTTCTTAAATTTTCATTTCTTATGTGTGAGGTTCTTCCGGATAATTGTATAGAACTGATTCATTTTTTAAAACGATTTTAGCGCCTTAGAGAGATGTTGAAGAAAGTTTGTTGCTGCTGAATCCTGGATTGTTAAGAAGAGTTCCTTTCTAATAGTTTACATTCTTAATTTTCTGATGATTTCCGGTTTGGTGCATTTCTATTTGGGAAAAAATGTTTGTTATTCTAAAGGACACACATTTGTGTCATTTCAAATGAAACTACTGTTCATTTAAAATAACTCAAACTTGTGTTTACCCACTTATTTTTGTATTTTCTCAATGTAACAGCTTATTGATATATGTATCTGTATGTATGATTCAGGTATTTTGCAATGCCTCAAGTTGTAATGTAAAATCGGAGAGGTTACAGAACAGCATATTTGGAACTTCAATTCCAATTGAATCATTAGTCTTACAGTTGAGTAGCCCGAATTTTTTCCTTAGTGCCCTTCTTCTTTTCTCTTCTGTGACTGTTTTTTGTTGCTTTAACAATATGTTGTTTTATTGTTATTGATCATGATGTATTGTTATATGCTCAGAAACTGCAATGCCCGGAGCATCCAGCCTATCAAAGCAACTGCAACGGAAATCCCTCTCCCCGTACAGAGTAAGAATAGTGCAATTATTGTGTGTAGAATAGGGTGATTTGCATGCAATTTTTTTATTCTTACTCCTGGCTGGTCTGTTCTGTTTAGAATCAAGGAGCACTGGGAAGACAAGAGTTGGAATTAACGGTAACTTTCTTGTTTCTGCTCACAGTTTTTAATTTTATCACACACTTCCAATTTTGTGCCAAATGAATCCTCATAGATGATTGATGATTTGAAGCTTTGCCTTCCCCACCATTTTTTATCGTATCCGGGTTTCATGTAGGATGTAGTAGGCACAATATTGGGAACTCATATTTGGAATTTATAAGAATGGTCTTTGTTTCGGGTTTATAACTCGGATGGGTCTACTTAGACATAACCTGGGAAGCCCATGTATCGTTACCCGGATAAAATAAGCCCGTGGGTTACGAACCCGTCTACCCGGAACCCATAAGTAGAGCCCAAATCGTGAGCCTTTCTCAGAACACAGAATTGGAGCCCAGAGTGTGGGCCCCAATCCACGATTCTTTCCTACTATATGATGGTAAGACCATGATCATTATAACTGCCAAGTTAGTAACTACCTCATATCCATTAATAATAACCGTTAATAGAACATATATAAGGAGGAAGATAAAGTTCACAGGGGATTAAGTTCTGATCAACCATAAGCACTACCGAACCGATTTAACCTTTAATGTTCACACTGAACATTTGGCACCGTCCGTGGGAACAGTAAAGTTTATTCCCACCATTGTTAATGGCTAGTAATAACCATCACGAGCGAAGAGTCGAAAACGGTCCACTCTCGGCGGAGGAGGAGGAAAATTCTTTCCGATCTAACGCTAGGAGCCGTTCTCTAAACACTATTGGATAGGCATTGATCCAATTAGCAGAAGATATCAGAAATAGACATCACAACGAAAGGAGAAAGAGAAGACACCATTTAGAAGAAAGACCACAGTTTGAGAACAGGCATCGATAGGAAAATCCCAGAAGAGGTTTGCGATCTCCTGCTCCCAGTTACATTCCCCTGCCTCATCCCCAGAGACAAGAGGGTACACGTTAGGAAGACAATCGTCATCATCACTCGGGGGAGTCAAGGAGTCCGCCAGAAAGGCCAGATAACAGAAGTAGAGGTCAAGAAGTTAACTAGAGAAATCAAGAGTGAGTACATGTTGAATACACTCGCAATTCAGATAGGAATGTGCATTACCAGGAAAGAAGGGAATATGGGCATCATTAGGCTCAGCAGGAGGGACATAGGTATGACTTTTACGGTCATCAAGATGCTCGTAAAGAAAACCAGCTTGAGTATAGCCGTCACTACTATGCTTGCCAAGAGGAAGGCCAGCGTAATATTCGAGGACGTCAGTATGATTATCAAGAGGACCGACAAACAAAGGCTGGCAGGTTCCATCGTGCCCGTCAAGAGGAGTACCAACACGAGGTGCCCAGGTATCGCCATGCCCGGAACAGGGAGGATCAAGGGGAATATAGAAGCCATTACCAGTAGGGTAATCAATATGAGAGGGCTGAGCATTATAACGCACAACAAATTGAAAATCAGCAGTATCCACCCTTTCAACAGAGATTCTAGGGGGGTTACCAAGTTCCACCTTATCAGAATGGATTGCAAACGATATACCTAGGGCCAGGGGGACCATGTCATGGGAACTCGCATACAATGGTGGCACCATATCAACCATTTCAATTGCAAATCCAAGCAGCACCAACTATACAGGGACTATCTAGAACACCTTTGTCATGGAGGTTAAGGGAGGAACCAATTCCGGGTTGGTTCAAACAACCAAATGATATGGAGGCGTATGACGGAGGCTCGGATCCTCGGGAGTTTATAACTGTTTTCCAAGCAACAATGTCGCTTTGTGGGGAAACAGATTCGCTGTTGTGTAGAGCTTTTTCAATTTTTTTGAGGAAGCAAGCTCTAGAGTGGTTTACCACATTGACGGAGAATTCAATTGACAGTTGGGCCGAGTTGGCGTCACGATTTACCCAGCAGTTCGCACATTGTGGACTACAATAAAAAACTACTCATAATTGATGTGGAGTAAGGCAAAAAACCCTGGGAGAAGTTAAGAGAGTATTATGAGCATTTTCAATTTGAAGCCAGACAGCCAGACAACTTAGAGGCTTGGAAAATCAGACGTACTTGTTACTATTTACTACTGGGTTACAACCAGGCGGCCTAACAAATTCTCTAGCAAAGAAGAGGCCCGCCACAAAAGAAGAACTATTAGAAAGAACTCGGAAGTATATTGATTTAGAAGAATTTCGGGCATCCCAAAAGGAGATTGAACGTGGTTTCCGAGAAGCCACACAAAACAAAAGACCAGATAGACCCGCTGGTAGGGGGTAGATGGAAGAAAGGAGACTTCATCTAGTAGGAGAGAGGTTCAGAGAGGGATTTAAGGGGGAATTCACTCTTTTAGATGCTCCTAGAGCATAGATTTTGAAGGATGTAATGAACACGGAGATGAGGAATGTCCCGAGGCCGCCACCTATCAGATCGACTTATGCACAGGCAGACATGTCCAAGTTGTGTGAGTTTCATAGGGGTTATGGGCACTTCACAAATGACTGCTTTAATTTGCGTAACGCTGTTGAGCAGTTAATTAGAGAAGGAAAGCTTCAGAAGTATATACGAAGAGGAGGAGTAGATGGATGTAAAGAAGGAGAAGGTAGATATAAAAGGCAAGACAGAAGCTGTAGCCCGACAGGAGAAAGAAGAAAGGAGATAAACAAAGATGAAAAGACAGAGGCACAGTCACCCTCATCCAATCATGTCCAAGTCGTGCATGTCTGCACAATAGCCGGACGAGCTGGGGGAGGCGAATCGGGCAATGCTCGGAAGGAGGAAAACAAGCAAGCAGATAGTTTTTGATGATTTAGATGATGAAGTTTTGGACCAGGAGCATGACGATCCATTGGGCATTTTCGGGCTCTTAGCAAACTATTGAGTAGATAGAATGTTAGTGGATCCAGGAAGTTCCGTGGATATTATATTTTGGGATGCATTTAGACGATTGGACTTGGATCATGATCAGTTAGAGCCTTGTGTAGCAGACTTGCTGGCATTTACGGGAGACAAGATTAAGCCATTGGGGTATATTTCTTTGAGATTGACATTAGGAAAGGCACCTACTCATAAAACGGTGACTTTGTCATTGGCAGTAGTGGATCTCATGTCTGCTTATAATGTTATTCTTGACGGCCATTCATGAAGAAATTTAAGATATTTTTGTCTATAGATTAGTTAGGCCATGAAATTTGTAGCGAAATATGGGAATACGACCACAGTGAAGGCGGATCAAGTCGTGGCACGAAATTGTTACAACATGAGTTTGAGGATTCCTCAAGAAAGTAAAAAAGAAAAAGGTAACAAAGTGGAGAAGGAAGTCAAGTGGGAGGAAATCAAAGCAGAGGAGGAGGAAGAAGGAATATAAATGAAAGAAAACAAGGAATCTCAAGTGATGTTAGTAGGGCTTGATCCCCGAGTTGAAAGTAAAAGAGGAAGGCCGGAACCCATCTGGACAATGGTTGAGTTTCAACTCGGATTATTACCCGAGCAAGTCACCAAAATGGGTTCCGAGTTATAGCTCGAAGTGGCTAGTGAGTTTCTAAGGAAGAACACATATTTGTTTGCTTGGAGGCCGTCGGATATGCCGGGATAGATCCGGCTTTGTCATGTCATTGCTTGTCGGTAATACCCAGTGCTAAGCTGGTCGGTAATGCCCGAAAAGAAGGAAAGCAATTGAAGAAAAAACATAGGAGTTGTTAGAAGCAGGGTTCATACGTGAAATAGAATATGCAACGTGGCTAGCGAACCCGGTATTGATAAAGAAGCCAGATGGGAGATGGAGGATGTGTACAGATTATACAGATTTGAATAAAGTCTGTCTTAAAGATCCTTTTCCTCTTAGCATCCCCTCCTATCCTCAGCAAGCCGAAACTAGGTGAAATTTTACACTTATATTTGTCTGTTTCACAGGATGCAGTTAGCTCGGTTCTTATCCGAGATGGAAATAAAAAACCTACGTATTTTGTAAGTAAGGTGCTGAAATTCGTTATCAGCATGTAAAACGTACAAAACCTGCGTATTTCTAAAACGTCTTCTTTATTCAAGATATCCTTTAATGTACTTTGTGAGGGTTCATTATATTGAAAATACCGACAACAACAATGGAGAATACAAGACAACCAACAAGTTTACAAAATAGAGACTAAAGAATGAGTATAGGAAAGTGAGTGAACTTACTTGTTGTAGAGCGAAACGATTCTTGAAACTGGAAAGGATGCTTCGGCGAAAATTGAAGGAGACACACTAATAGAAGAAAAGAAAGGAAACAAAGAAAAAAGGGGAAGAATAATAGGTGAGAGAGAGAGAGGAAGTTTAAATGAAGAAACGTGCGTAGTAAGTTATTGCCGTTTCAAATTTCGAAATGATTGAAAAGATGTCGTATCGTGCCGTTTGATAAAACCAAGATCAGCCAAAAGAGGATATGTGGCAGATGTAACGTATAATAACAAGTAGCATTTAATGATAGGACTGCTCGGTGGATCCGAGTTATAAAGCTAAGACAAACTCATATTGGCAGCTCGGAGTATTTCTTGCATAATACTTCGAGCTGGGGGGGCCTTAATGTTCCGGGTTTATAACTCGGATGGGTCTACTTAGACATAACCTGGGAAGCCCATGTATTGTTACCCGGATAAAATAAGCTCGTGGATTATGAATCCGTCTACTCGGAACCCATAAGTAGAGTCCAAATCGTGAGCCCTTCTTAGAACACAGAATTGGAGCCCATGGTGTGGGCCCCAATCCATGATTCTTTCCTACTATATGATGATAAGACCATGATCATTATTATAACAGCCAAGTTAGTAACTACCTCATATCCATTAATAATAATCGTTAATAGAACATATATAAGGAGGAAGATAAAGTTCAAAGGGGATTAAGTTCAAATCAACCATAAGCACTACCAAACCTATTCAACCTTTAATGTTCACACTGAACATTCTTGAAAGCTGTTAGTTTGTTTCTGATGTGGAGTTTGCCTGTCATTTTTAGATGTGGAATTAGCTCAACTTTTATATTCAAAGAACTGATAATCTATTTCTTGTTCACAACTTGCTTGTAAAGATTCCTTGATTGTTGAATTGCTTTAGATGGAATGGGTAACCTCTTCTATGGGTAGTGTTTGACGAAAGCTGATCAAGTAAAATAGTTAAAGCATGATCCTACTGTGTGATTATTTGGTCCAATTGACCGGAATTTGTATGTCTTTAACTTGAGTGAAAGATTTCAAGTGGTATTTTGTGAATTCCTGATTTTATAGGATGAACTTTGCTTAATGTTTTTAGGTAGCTTGTATAAGCAAGTTGTGATTTGTGAATAAGAAATAGATTATCAGTTCTTCAACTTATGTTTTAGTTTGGACTTAGGAACATGCAAAATCAGTTGCCCGAACCTGACAGAACTGTTAAAAGAGTATTATTTTGAAATGTTATTATGTGATTCCGAATCAGCTTTGTCTACGAACAAGGAAGCTATAAGTAATGCAACTAGGAATGTCATGGAGAGTTCAAAAGAGTATTATTTTAAAATGTTATTATGTGACATGTTCAAACCTTGTTTTAAAGCCACATATTCGTATAATTTTTCAGCTTGTCTTAAGAAAACATTCATATGCTGTATGCTGAAATGTGCAGGTTTTGGTAGAATTGGAAGGTTGGTGTTACGTGTAGCTACTTCCCGGGATGATATTGATGTTGTTGCAATTAATGATCCCTTTATTGATGCTAAATATATGGTATGTATGTGCAATTACCTTAGTGGTTTTGCTTATAATATATAATGTTCATGGTTTACAATAATTTGTATTTACGTGCATGTATGTTTATATATATATATGGTGATAGGTGCATCTATCTCAAAATTCTTATTTATTTATTTATTTTTGTTTGGATGTCGCTGTAAACAGAAATCTTACGTGGACTTTAAAGATTTAGATTTGTCTTAGTACAATGCTCTGATCTTGGATGCCTACCATGATACCAATCAGTAGTGATATAATTTTATCTTACGTCTTGTATGCTGATTGAGTTGGGATGTTCTGCGACTGTAGTCTTTGTTGTTTTATACCTCTTGCCTTTTGTAGAATTTACTTACATATCTTGGGATTGTTTATTTATATTATACTGTTTTCACCTCAAGTCCTCTCAAATATTTAGCAGAATCCAATTTGCAGTTCTTAAACATATCCCAAACCTAGAAAGTGTCATTCTGTAGAAGTAGATAGTTATGTTGGCTTTAGACTTGAGATGATTAATTCTATTTGCATTGTCATGTAGTGCTGTGCATGCCATGACAATAGACGTTCTAAAACATTTAAGAGATGGTTGTGAGGGTATTGTTTGTACACTTGTACTCCAACTTTCTTCATGAATTCATCTTTTGATTTGTTTTCTTTATTGTTTTATATACATTTTTTAATCCATTCATAGTGGGATGCTTGGTTGTTTTTTTATTTTTAATTTATTCATTTTTAATTGTACTTTATTTATATTATGCATACATTTTGCTTTAGCATTTCATCTCTTCTTTCTTTTAGGCTTACATGTTCAAGTATGATTCTACTCATGGACCATTCAAGGGAACCATTAAGATTTTGGATGACTCTACTTTAGAAATTGATGGGAAGCAGGTTAAAGTTGTGAGCAAAAGGTATCTTGAGTTTAGCCCTAATAATTGAAATGGATTTACAAATGCATGTTATTGGTTTACAATATTCTTGGAGGTATCAGAGTTCAATATGGATTAACATGCATACCTTTTTATTCCTCTATTCAGAGATCCCGCGGAGATCCCTTGGAGTGATTTTGGGGCTGATTATGTCATTGAGTCTTCCGGAGTTTTTACAACATTGGAGAAAGCCTCTTCACATTTGAAGGTTGCTATGTTCAAATATCAATTACTTGTGTATTAAGTGTTCTCTCTCTCTCCCCCTCCCTTTTTCTAGTTCTCTCCAGCTTCAAATCTTAATTCGAGTTGTCTTATTCTACTGTAGGCTGGTGCCAAGAAAGTCATAATATCCGCTCCTTCTGCTGATGCACCAATGTTTGTGGTAGGAGTGAATGAGAAAACATACATGCCGAACATGGACATCGTTTCTAACGCAAGCTGTACAACGAATTGTCTTGCTCCACTTGCCAAGGTTTGATCACATTGTGTGATGCCAAGCTTTATTGAACTCATGCTTTCTCTATAATGAGAATGTTAAATGTTTTTGCATATGATTTAACTGATTAAAAGCCAATTAACTTTAAGATTAATCGAAGTTCCTCTTCCTTAAAGAGTAAGAAAAATGATAAGGGTTAAAAAATCTTAGTGCTTATGTGACATCCTAAAAGGGGAAGCATGATAACAGCATTTCTGGGAGTGTCCAAGACATTAAATATACATTTTTCTCCATTAATCAACTTATAATGCCGTAATTTTCTCTCTTGATCATTATTCTTTTCTTCACAGATGGATCTGGGAATTGATCTTTTTTGTTTTAGGAGGGTTGTGTAAAATATAGAAACAAGAGCTAGTAGGATCATAAAACTCAGATAATTGTTTCATTATCAAGCTTTTCTGCAATGTCTCTTCCAATATAGGGAGTTAAACTATCAGAGAGAAGTTAATGGTGGTCTATCCAAACCTGTAAGCCTTTTGCACAAGTTAATTGGTTATATAAAAAAATCTAACATGGTGCTTCTTCCTCCATTCCCTTACCACTTCCTTATTCATTACAAACCTGCACAAAAGCATCTAATTCTTCTATGTAAATTATTCATCAGGTGGTTCATGAAGAGTTTGGTATAGTTGAAGGTTTGATGACAACTGTGCATGCAACAACAGGTCTCTTGCACACTTGCTAATTATAGCCTCTAATTTATTTTTCTCTTTTGGATTAAACCATCCCTTTGTATGTTCACATGTTGCATTAGTAACATCTAATTGTCTTTTTAATTGCTCAGCAACACAAAAGACTGTAGATGGTCCTTCAATGAAGGATTGGCGAGGGGGACGAGGGGCCAGTCAAAATATAATTCCAAGTTCAACTGGTGCTGCAAAGGTAAGAAATGGACGGCATCAAAGAGATTTTGGTGCTTACTATTTTCAGTATTGATTTATTAATTTGTTTTATTAAACCACAGGCTGTCGGAAAAGTTCTTCCTGAGCTGAATGGAAAGCTCACTGGAATGGCATTCCGTGTGCCTACTCCTAATGTTTCTGTCGTGGACTTAACATGTCGGCTTCAAAAGAATGTTTCCTATGAAGACGTTAAAGCAGCAATAAAGTATGACTTGAAAAGGGTATTCTGATATATTTTAGAATTGTAAATAATGTGTACAAGGGATTCTCTATTTATAGAGAATATGTGACCTACTTTTAACCTAAAGGCCTTGGCCCAATACAACAAAGGGCTTGGCCCAATACAACAATAAACTAAATAATAACTAAATCAATATTATTTACAACACTCCCCCTCAAGCTGAGGAATAGATATTTATCATTCCCAGCTTGCTAGTAAGTTCTTGAAATCTGTCTGAAGGAAGCCCCTTTGTTAATAGATCAGCTAATTGACGCCCAGTGGGAATGTATGGAGTGGTAATCAACCCGCTATCAAGTTTCTCTTTGATGAAATGGCGGTCGACCTCAATATGTTTAGTCCGATCATGTTGAACTGGATTATGAGCTATACAAATAGCGGACTTATTATCACATAGCAGCTTCATAGGTCCCTCACATTTTATTTTGAGATCATCAAGTACAATTTTCAGCCACAGTAACTCACAAATGCCTTGAGCCATAGCTCGAAATTCAGCTTCTGCACTTGATCTGGCAACCACATCTTGTTTCTTACTTCTCCATGTCACCAAGTTACCGCAAAGAAACATGCAATAACCAGTGGTAGAACGACGGTCAATCATGGATCCAACATAATCAGCATCTGTGTAGACTTCTAAAGATAGATTGCCATCACGTCGGAATAACAATCCTTTACCAGGAGTACCTTTAAGATACTGAAGAATTCTCTCTACAGCCTGCATGTGTTTTTCCTTTGGATTGTGCATAAACTGACTGACAACACTAACAGCATAAGCTAGGTCTGGTCTAGTATGGGCCAGATATATCAATTTCCCAACTAGCCGTTGATATTGTCCTTTATCAACTCGAGGACTCTCTTCTTCATAGCTCATCTTGTGATTCTGCTCAATAGGAGTATTAGAGGGTTTACACCCGAGCTTTCCTGCTTCTTTGAGAAGATCAAGAACATATTTCCTTTGGCTGATAAAAATTCCTTTGCTTGAATGAGCTACTTCTATCCCTAGGAAATATCTCAGTTTCCCAAGGTCTTTGACTTCGAACTCAGAGGCAAGCCGTGTCTGCAGAATCTGTCTCTCCACAAAATCATTACCTGTGATAATAATATCATCAACATATACAAGGAGCACAGTAAGCTTCCCGTTTTGGGAGTGATTAAAGAAAAGAGTGTGATCTCCTTGACTCTGTCTATATCCTAAGGTCATCATAACCTTAGTAAACCTCCCAAACCAAGCACGAGGTGACTGCTTCAATCCATACAAGGCCTTTTTTAATCGACAAACTTTATTTTCCCCCTTCACAGAATCAAAACCAGGCGGGATTTCCATGTAGACTTCTTCTTCTAACTCACCATTGAGGAAAGCATTTTTCACATCAAATTGATTTATATCCCAATTGTAATGGGCAGCAAGGGACAACAAGATTCTCACTGTATTCATTTTTGCAACTGGAGCAAAGGTTTCTTCATAATCAATGCCATAGGTTTGAGTGTAACCTTTGGCGACTAATCGAGCCTTGTATCTCTCAAGAGTGCCATCAGAATTATATTTTAGGGTATAAACCCATCTGCACCCTACTGCTTTCTTTCCGTTGGGTCTATCAATAACCTCCCATGTTTTATTTTTCTCCAACGCATTCATCTCCTCTTGCATGGCTTGAGCCCAATTCCCATCTCTCAAAGCTTCATGTACTGATTTTGGGATTGAAGTAGAATCTAGTGCTGAAACAAAGCTTTTGTGCTGCACAAAAAGATTAGCAGAGGAAACAAAATGGGAGATAGGGTATTGAGTACAAGAGGGACAAGAAGAACAAGATTTCTTGGAACAAGATCTTTTTCCTTTTCTTAAAGCAATGGGTAAATCATCAGAAGCAGTAGTAATGGGTAAGTCATCAGAAGTATCATGATCAGAAATATGAGATTCAAGACTTACCAGTGGTTCAGACGATTGAGGTTGCTGTTGAGGCAATGTGGGCTGTTTCCTTCTTTGATATACCAATTCAGGTGTTACAATCTTTCGTATCTCTTGTGTACTTGATGTATCAGTCATAGGAGGATCAGTCACAGACACATTAGGAACAGGAACAAGAGGAAGAGACACTGACACAGGTGAAGGAGTAGACACTGAAGTTTCAAAGAAGGAAGGTGATGAGTCTTCTGGTGAATCATTCTCCCCCTGAAGATGAGGACCTTGGAAAAAGGACTCAGATTCCTGAAATGTAACATCCATAGAAACAAAAAATTTCCGACTTCCAGGGTGATAACACTTGTAGCCCTTCTTATCAGGAGCATATCCAAGGAAGACACATTTAAGAGCCCTAGGATCCAACTTACTGCGATGCTGTTTATGAATATGAACAAAGACAACACACCCAAACACTCGAGGAGGAAGACTTTGCAAAGTTGGAATAGAAGAAAAAAAAGAAGTCATGGAGTGAATAGGACTTACATGATCGAGAACCCGAGTGGGTAGACGATTGATCAAGAATGCTGCAGTAAGAATGGCATCTCCCCAATAGCATTTGGGTACATGTGTTTGAAACAATAAGGCACGAGCAACTTCAAGAAGGTGACGATTTTTCCTTTCAGCAACCCCATTTTGTTGAGGGGTGTCTACACATGTAAGTTCATGAATCATACCTTGATTTTGTATAAATTGGGAAAAAGAGTGATTGACATATTCAGTACCATTATCTGTCCTTAGTCTTTTGATTTTTTTACAAAATTGAGTCTCAATCATTTTATAAAATTGAAAGAACAGTTTTGGTACCTCAGACTTTTCATGCATTAAGTAAACCCAAGTTACACGAGTGCAATCATCAATAAAAGAAACAAACCATTTATTTCCAGAAGAATGAGGGACCTTAGAAGGACCCCAAACATCAGAATGAATAAGATCAAAAGGTTCAACACTTTTAGTAATACTAGAAGGGAAAGACACACGATGATGCTTAGCAAACTCACAAACATCACAATGATAAGACTCAACAGACTTAGACAAAAACAAAGACGGAAATAAAGACTTGAGTAAACTAAATGGAGGATGTCCCAAGCGCTTATGATGAAGCCAAATCAGAGAATCAGCAGTTGACTGGCCATGTGACAGTAAGATGTGATCCTTAACATGAGTTGCAGGAGATTGTGACACCAGATAATACAGCCCACCTTGCTCTTTAGCACCCCCAATCGTCTTCCCTGTGGCGAGATCCTGAAAAACACAGTGAGTAGGAAAGAAGGTTACAATGCAATTTAAATCTTTTGTAATTTTATGAATAGAAAGAAGATTAGTAGAAAGTTTAGGGACATGAAGAGCATCTTTGAGATGTAAGGAAGGCTGTAATTTTCTGTTACCAGAACCCGCAACTGATGTATGGGAGCCATCAGCTACGGCTATCGTATGAGTGCCAATGGTAGGGTTATAAGAAACAAAGGGGTCAGCACAACAAGCCATATGATCAGTAGCACCAGAATCAACAACCCAAGAATGTTTAAAATCAATACATGAAGTAAGAAAAGAAGAAATTTTGGAGCTCATACCAGTCATAGCCAAATCACTAGTACCAGATGGCTTACTCAGAGAATCAAGTATGGTTCGAAGTCGTTCCAACTCATCTGGACGAAGTGCAGGTTGGGTCTCATTAGGTGTAGGAGCTATATCAGAAGAAGTAAAATGCGCTTGACCACGCATCCTTGCTATCTTTTCTAAGACAGTTTGTTTTCCATGGAGGCGATAGTATAGATCCTTGATATGACCTGTTCTTTTACAATAAGAACACCAGCGATCATCTTTCTTAGGTCTAGAAGATGCTCCATCAGAATATTTTGGAAAGGAACTCTTGTAAGTAGAACCATCTTTTTTTGTTGAAATCATAGCAGACCCATCAGTGGGTTTAGAAGCAGCACCATCTTTTGATGATAACATGACAGATTTATCAGGGTTCATCATAACACCCCGACGATTCTCCTCTCCCCGAACAGTATTGAAAACAGCAGAAAGGGATGGAAAAGTTTCTTTGCCAAGTATCTGAACCCGAATAGGATCATACTCGGAATTCAAACCAGCAAGAAAATCAAAAATACGCTCATTTTCTACCTCCTTGGCTAAAGCAGTAGCATCTGCAGTACATTTCATCTTCAAACTCTGAAATTGATCAAGTTCAGTCCATAACTCCTTCAAGGTGCCATAGTACTCAGTCACGGATAAAGAATCTTGTTTTGTAGTGAATATTTTATTGCGCAATTCATAGCGCGCAGCCATATCCTGTTTCAAGGAATAAGTGGAGCGGACAGTTTCCCAAATCTCCATAGCAGGAGACAAGAACATACAATGACGACCCACTTCAGGAGTCATCGAATTCCACAACCAAGTCATGATAAGAGAATCCTCATTATCCCAAACAGCAAAATCAGGATCCGTGGCAGCAGGAGCAGGGCCATCAAGATGAGCAATCTTATTGCGACTCTTGATTCAGATAAGTTTAGAGTTGAATCACCGTCGGAAGCGGCCATACTGCAAAACAACTCAAGGAATAGTACTAAGAAGCCAAAAAATCACGAAAAATTACCAAACGAGGTCCGATCAAAGAGGTGAGCACAGATCCAGAACGAGCTTGGAGAGTCGGTCAAGACTGCACCGGTCCGCAGCCAATAGCAACCGTCACGCGCTGTCACGCGCCGGTGAAGCTGGTGGCGCGTGAGATTCACGCGCAGGGAAAGAAGAGGCGCGTGGAGGCGCGTCTGACGTCCGATCGGGCTGGGCTTTTCAGGCGAAGGTCGTCCAAGGGTTGCGAACCTATCTGGGGCTGATCGGAGTTGAATGGCCGCCAAAAAGAAGGTCAATCGCGATGAACAGTGTTCTTGGTTAGTGAAAAACGCTTCTGTTTGGAGGTGACGTGGAACGGTTCAGTTTGGGGTCTTGTTATTGAGGAAGATGAGAGAAAAACAAAGAGAAGCAATGATCTCTCGGTCCAAGAGGTCCCTGGAGAATTTTTCCGGTGGCGGCTGATGGCAGCGAGAGATGGAAAACAAAAAAAGGGTTTCGTAGGCGCGGAAGCAGAGCCCTCAAGATCGAGAGCTCTGATACCAACTTGAAAAGGGTATTCTGATATATTTTAGAATTGTAAATAATGTGTACAAGGGATTCTCTATTTATAGAGAATATGTGACCTACTTTTAACCTAAAGGCCTTGGCCCAATACAACAATAAACTAAATAATAACTAAATCAATATTATTTACAACAGTATGTCTATTGCCTTATTGCTCTGGCTTCTATACTCTTTTCTTGGGATTCATTGATGCTAATCCTTGGTTGATTTCTGACCTTGTCACTGAAAAAAATGAAGGCATGCCTCAGAGGGATCACTGAAAGGAATTCTTGGATACACAGATGAGGATGTTGTCTCTAATGACTTCGTTGGTGATTCAAGGTAATTGTATTTTTCTGCTTGTAGAATATAAATCACTATCAGCATCTTGAGGATGACAGAACTCTCTCTCCTTTTTTCCAGAGTATGCTTCCTAAGATGTTGTCTTGTACATTTCTTTAGTTTCGTGTACAGATGAAATGAGGGAGGGTTATGTATTATTTTGGTTGGAAAGTGAATGAGACTCCGTAGAACATGAGATGCCCTGTTTCGTTTGTTACATTTGTTCCTAAATGTGGTAAAAACAGATTTTAATTTGCCATAAATAAAACTGAAGTTTAAGTATGCCTTTCTGCTAGTAGTTATAACTTGTAATTTAGTCGGTTCTCTTCAGATATGTTCATTTGTGATATAAATGGCTTATGTAAAATGAAATTCTTTTGAACAGGTCTAGTATCTTTGATGCTAAGGCTGGGATTGGGCTTAGTTCTTCCTTCATGAAGCTGGTTTCGTGGTATGACAATGAGTGGGGTTACAGGTATGTGCGCATGCAATTGCATCCACACTTTTTCTATGCATATAAACTAATAAAGACTATCACTGATGCGTAATGCATTTTTTAAAGCAGAATTTTTTATTCATGCTAACCTTTAATCATGTTATTTTTGAATGGTATGCTTTGCAGCAACCGAGTGTTGGACCTTGTAGGGCACATGGCAATGGTGGGAGCCCACAATTGAACACCAATATGGTTTCTGTTGCTGCTGATGTCGCAATTCTTATCTGGCCTTGAGTTAGGTTAAAAATTAGTGGCTGCTTAGGTTCGCATATTTTGGTTTTGATCAGATTTTTGTAAGATGTGAGGTTAATGATCACATCATGTTCACTGAAAAATAAAATACAAGGACATTATACTGATTATACATGTTTGTAATTGGTTTTCATATGCCAATGATGAAATTTACAAACTTTTAAAATGCTCGACATTTTGTGCGTGATTGATTTATATGGGCCTGCTTGGATAGGGTATATAATTCACAAAAGCTTATCTTAAGAATAATTCAGTCTCGTTACCGAAAAAGAAGGGGAAGAAAAGAAGAAAAACTCAGGTGTTGTGTATGATTTTTCAATTGAGTATTATTTCTTGTATTTCAAAATATTACTTTCGTATTTGATTCATGATTCATTCATGTCTACATTCTGGATGGAAACTATGTGTAATAAAAGGCAGGCCATTCAATTAGTTCACGAAGTCTTGTAATGCTACTGAACCGTTTTGTAATATTCTACGGACATGAAGTCTTAGAAATCTTATAGTTGGATTAAAAAATTTTATTGAATAAAATGAGTTTATGAAATTTTATATAATTTGATAGTTAATATGAAATTATTTAATCATGAATTCTATATAAAAATTTCTCATTATAGGAGACATAGCGTTTGTCCAAAGGGTTTGATGTTTGTCATTTTAAATGACATAAGTTATGTCATTTTAGGAGAGAGATAGACACAAAATGAAAATCATGGGAGAGAAAGTGGGCGGTTGTTTTTTAATTTAAATTTTAAATAAAAATATATTATTTTGTGTCTATTTTTCTCTTAAAATGACATAATTTTATATTAATTAGAATGACAAACACTTTTTGCTTGTCCAAAACATTGAAAACTCGATATTTCTCATCATTTTAGACTTGGTTAAACAAAAGATTAAAATTTACAGTTACAAGCTATGAATTATTGACACGTGCTTTTTTAAAAAAAAAGTGTTGAACACGTTTGAGACACTTATATGTGTTTGACACGTGATTAATATTTTTCGACATATGGTTAATGTTAATGCAGATTCAATTTTTTTATTTTATTTTTTTAACTAAATTTGAAAAATTAATTTATAAATCAAATATTTAATATTGTGAAATTTGACATGAAAAATTAATAAGACATGAAAAATTGTTTTTGCTTTAAATTTATGGTATAGAATTTAAATATGTGATTGATCATATAACTTGTCATGTGCTGTTATATGTATTAAATATAAATTATATTATATATATTAAAAATATTATTTTATATTAAAAATGTGTCATAACATGTTTAAATCTAATATTTTTTAAAATTAATATATTATATCATGTGTCGATATAAGTGAAACACAGGTTACAAGTCACCATAAAATATTAAAAGCACGAATTAAGTTCTGACAAGGCAAATAATGCTGTGGAACGTTGCCTTTGAGGCAGTGTTTGTTTGGGGATAAATTTTTTTTTACTAGAGAAATGTAATTGATAGGGAAATGGTTGGAAAATGAAATTGGTAGGAAAATGTAAAAAAAGTTGTTTGGTTGACCGAAATATTACCAGGGAAATTTATTTAAATATGCAAAATCTATGTTCGGGAGAAACTTTGCACCTGTTTTTTCACTTCTCCAGTTATCTCAAAATACCATATCTCAAGTGGTATTCTGTAACAGTGAATTTCATTCAAAAATCAACACAAAAGTCATTTTCTCATCTATCCTACTTGCCTAGTATTTTTTGAAAAAACCTGAACCAAACGTGGTATTTTCCAATATCCACTTACACTTTCCCATCAATCCCAAAATAAACTTTCAACCAAACACTACCTGAAAATAAGAGGAATGGGAAAGAAACATAACGTTGGTCATCAAATCAAATTTTTTTAATATTTATTTATAGGATTAACATTTCTCCGGATATTTAAGGAAACTTCATAATATAAAAGAAAAAGAAAATTTTCAAAATAACTTATATTTTTCTTTCTTAGATGAATATTATACTTACAACCTATCTTCGTTCACAATTTCTTATAACATATCTTAACCGTTGATTTTTGACTATCAACGGTTATTATTTATTACGAATTAATAATTAATTAATGATTTTGATTTACGAAATAATAATCGTTGATTGACGAAAATTAACGGTTAATATATGGTTGTAAGAGGTTGTAAACAAAAATAAATTGTAAATATAACTTTCCTCCTTTTCTTAAACCTTAATATAACGCGGTTTTTTTTATGGGTTTTATAATTCTCATTTAACATGTGAATTGAAATCTTCCTACATACTCTTCAATTTCCGTGTTGATATGAGTCCCACAGATAATTTTTTCTAACATATGGATCTCATATATTTTTTATTTCTATGGCACAAGATTTTAATTTTCAATGTAACTTGAAAATTATAAAACTCTTTTTTTATCTCGTGTTATATAGACGCCCTTTATTTGAGTAAAACAACTTTTTCAAATCCATATGAGTGCTGTTAGTGTTAACCCACTCAGGGGCATTGGATGAAGCTATCATCCCGCTCGGGTCACATTATTGAATCAAAGACTCATATTACAACCTAAAATAAAATTAAAATAAAAAAATTAACTCATTACAAATCATATTTAAAACAACCCAAAAAATAAGTGGAGGTATAATTATTTCTCTGTATATGCATTGGGAATGGACTGAATAAGTAACGATAGTATACTACGACTCTTGATTTCAGGATCTTGAATAGAGTGGCCATCGCCATGCTGTCTCTAAGAGATTTCTTGAGAAAGAACAACTACGAGCTTCTTCATTCATCTTCTTCCACGATGTACACATTATGGATTTTACATACTCACGAGCATCTCCTTCAGAAGCTCCACTGTCATTCATGTAGCATTGAATTGACTTAGGAACGTCGCCTGTCTCAATTTCACGCTGAAAATGAAAGAACAAAAAAAATGAGAGAAAATAAAATAAAATAGAATGTTTAATAAGGAACATGAATAAGATTGAAAGGGTACTTTATATGTTCCGAGGTCATTAGCAAGGCGTATAATGATTGCTGAGGATCGAATTTTGTCGGAATATTCTTCTAAATAAACTAATTCCTCCTTTTTGAATGAATTGTGGAATTGCAAAGTAAGCATGAACAAGTACAGCAGGGGCACCTATGGAAATCCACGCATTCTCTATGTATTCTCCAAAGCTTGGCTTATATCCACTGTGGTACCACTTTGCTTCAATCAAATATGATTTACATGTATCTGCCCACTGAAAATATTATAAGTAAAAGGGTTTAAGTTTTCTTATGTTGTAGGTAGGAGTGTAAATGGGCCAGGTTGGCCCAGCCCAGCCTACGGCTCGGCCTACATTGAGCCCAGCTCAGGCTCAGCCTTTCAGGAAAGTAGAGTAGGCTTAGGCTTATAAAAAAGCTTTTTTAATAAATAGGCCATAGGCCAATTTTGTCAAGCCCGGCCTACAGCCTTGTAGGCTGGCCTATTTAATTTATTAAAATAAAATATATATTATTATTATTTTATGTGGCAAAGACACAAAGTACCAAATACCAAAATCTCTTACTTTTTGTGCTATTTTATTTTGTGAAAGAAAAACTTGTATAATGTCTCCAAATTTTACATGCTGTTGCAGCTTAATACCATGGAACAATGGGTACCTTGCTGGATTATGATGTTACTGATGAAGATCTTTCAATAATAATCTTCTTTCCCTTGTCTTGATGGTGGTTTAAAGATTTTTAGATGAATGACATTCTCTTGTAGACTTTATTTCAGCATCCAGTAATTGTATTTTTCTTATTTTTCTCATTTCTTCGACTCTATTCCTCTATGATATACATTCTAGAGCTGAGGTATTATGTTGACTCTTTCTTGTTTGTCATTTTTTTCTTATGAGAAGTACTAGTGTATGCATGAATGGAACTTTCTTTGCTCTATACATTTATTTTTTTTGCTTAGTATATATAGTGGGAGGCCTACAAGGCCTGTAGGCCATGTCAGGCTTTCTTATTTTTGAAAATGGGTCGGGCTTGACCTACAAATAAAGCCTTTAATAGGCCAATAGGCCAGATAAGCTGACTTTTTTTTGACGTAGGCTTGGGCCAGAATGGCCAAAGCCCAGCCCAGCCCAGCCCATTTACACCCCTAGTTGTAGGATTGTAGGAGAGAAAAAAAGTAGAGAGAAGTTAAATGTGGGTCCCATATTTTATATTTAAAAAGAAAAGAAAAATTAATTGGCACGGAAAACTAATTTGAGTAGGAAATTGATTTACTCTCATGTAGCATGAGAGTATTATTTCCCTAAGTAAAATGAGTTGACAATACTCTTTATTATTTAAGTACAATACAATATTGTATGCTTTCAAATTTATGCCAAATAGAGAGAATTTTAATATATAGAATCTTAAACCCACCATTGGAAACTTTGATGATGTGTCGCTCTGTGCTTCATTCTCAGTTTTGTGTTCACACTTGAAAGAATTTGAAATGTTTTTTATTTTGGAAATTTTTAAAATTCAAAATTTCAAATTGGTGGGTGTGAAGAATAATTCAAAATATATAGTGGAAGACACATGTATTGATGATCCACTACTTTCTACATGGGTAGGTGGAAAAGTATTAATATCTCATTACTTTTTACATTGGTAGGTGAAAAAGTATTCAAATTCAAAATTTAAACTTAAAGGTGGGAAAAGAGTTCATCATTAATATCACACTACTTTCTGCATAGGTAATTGTTAACCCTATTAATATTCCACTATTGGGCTTAATTATTAAAAAACGAAATTATTTTGTGTATAAATAAGATATGTGTTACTGGGTCTTTTCAATTGGTAATTAGCTTTTGTGCATATGTTTCTTCTCTTCTCTGTTTATTTATCTTCTTCATCTTATCAAGTTGTTCTTCTATTAGTTGAACATGTAATATTTTTCATTTTTTTTTGTAGCACTATTGTAGAGTAAAGCTGACGGAATGATTTGGAATCACTAGAATATGTATTTCTTTACTTCCTCAGTGGAAGGTATGACATTCTTCTCTATCTTTTTTTCTTCTACAAGTATTTTTTTCCATAACACAATATCATGAACGAGATGATATAATAAAATGTCCTTACTTTTAAATGATTAAATATTTATGTTTAGCCTTGGGCACCATCTCAAAATTCAACACGGTAAAAATTTATCT